GAGCTCCGCCAGCCCTGCGCCGGCTTCTGGCTTGGGGGTGTCTAGAAAGGCCTGGCTTTCCTCGGGGGACTCAGTGGTTTGCTCAGAAGGAGCCGTGTGGGGCATAAGCTGTGGTAGAGTCGTGGTTTTCTGTGCCGAAAGGCGTCATTTTTCGTGTTTTTCGTAGTCGTCCTGTTTATCTAGCGACACGGTGTCTTTGTTTTCTGCAGAGCACCTTTCAAAGGCCGGTTAGGTGGGAATGTGGTGTTGTAAGTCTGTAAAAAACGTGTAGCTCTCCCTCCAGTTCCGTAATCTAAAAAAAAAAATCGTCTCTTGCAGCCTGTAAGTGACTTCACCAGTGCTGAGTCTGTTCGCGTTTGCAGGCAATCATGGATCAGGTGATGCAGTTCGTGGAGCCCAGTCGGCAGTTTGTAAAAGACTCCATACGACTTGTTAAAAGATGCACCAAGCCTGACAGGAAAGGTAAAGCACACAGCAAACAGTCTGTACTTCATCTGACATCCTTTCCAGTGTTTCTCAGCTTCCAACGTGAGGTTTAAGCTGGAGCGTTTTCCCAGTTGTTACTGTGTTTATGGTTCTGGATCTAAAAAACTTGGAATGTGTCCTTTTCTGGTATGAACTCAGGTGTGTGTGAGGGGTACTAAAACTGAGCTCATGAAATAGGCTGAAATGAAGCCATTTTGAGATAGGCAGGTAATAATTTTCATGTCTTAGGTAAACTGATCTAAGAAGAACTGAAGTGCTTTTTAAAAGACAAATGCAGAGGTCAGGTTTGACTGATTGCAGTCAGCTTGGGGGAAATTCTGGTGGAAGGTTCCATGACCCTGGAGGAAACTTGAAAGGAGCTAGGATTGCTTTTTCTAGTGCCTATTCGTGACTTCACAGCTGTCAGGGACTGCCTAATTGGGGCAGGAAGAACTGTGTTGCTGGAAGGATAGAAGAAATGGTTTGGGACTTTTTCAAAGGTATTAGAGAGAAGCTGTTAACTATAACCAGAATGTTACTGGTTGTCCTTAATGGTAGTAGTTTTGTTACCTTATTCACATGCTGAGGATGAAGTTTCCTGACATCTTTTTGAGATCAGGCTGACAGGGTTGTTGAGTGGCTGCTGACCTTCTTAGTCCACATCATGATTGCTGTCTTAAAATAATGGAGGATATCAATTAAGTACTCAATTTTTTTGTGGGGACTTAAGATGCTGTCTTCCTGTGGCAGACATAAATGCAGCTCTTCCATTTTTGGTACTGTGTTGGAGATTATTTTCAGGGACTGTAGGGCTATGAAGGAAAGATAATGGAATAAATGTTCCATTAATTGTTATGGACTGTAGGTATTTCTGATTTTGCATGTTATTTTAAAAAAATGAGATCTGCCAGGGTTGGTGGAAAGCAGCTTCTTCTCTCCTGAAAATTCCTCTCTCTTCTGAAAAAGCAGATTTGTTTCTCAACATTGGTGCAGTTTGCTTTTGAACTGCTTCCTGAGTTAAGATGACCATTTTCTAAAGACAGATAGTTCACATCTCCTCTATGTCAGACACGAGGCTTCCCAGACTAAACTTTTTGGTGTGGTTTTTTTTGTTGTTTTTTTTTTTCCCCAGAGTTCCAGAAGATTGCCATGGCAACAGCAATAGGCTTTGCAATAATGGGATTTATTGGTTTCTTTGTCAAATTGATCCATATCCCAATCAACAATATCATTGTGTAAGTAAAGATGACCTTTATTTTCGGTAAATTTTACATTAATTTTTACCTGTTCAATTTTAAACAGAAGATGTTGGTGAGCCCTGTAGGATCCACGTTGCTTTAGTATCTGTGTATTTCACACGTTACTCAAATAACTTGATCAGGAAGTAGATTAATTATTTAGCATGCTGCAAAATATTAGATCCATAGGTCTTCATTTTCTTCAAGTATTGTGCTTCAAACCTTAACGTCAGATACTTCAATTTCCAGTTCTCAGTGTATGTTTATCCATAGAACATCTCTCTTACTTGGATCTTAAATAATCTTACTGTTTTCAGTTTATAATTTGGGTATCCAAATTAAGTGCTTGGGGAGTGAGGTAGAGAAAACCGAGTGGTTATGCTGGAAGATGACAAGGTGCAGAACAAAGTTGGTCTTGTTTCATTTACTCAGTGCCAGATGTGTGTGAAACATTGGTTTTTTGTGTAATTGCTTTCTGTAAAATACCTTTTGGAATGAATGTAGCAGCATGAAAAACATCAACCTTAAGTTGACCAGCAGTCTTGGTACTGACATATTAACACTTCCAAATAAACCTCCTCAGATTCTCAAGAGCTGATGTAATCCCTTTTCTAGCACTGGAACAGGTTAAGCGCTGTTCTGTGACATATGGCTTGCTTAGAGCTCTAAGAGTGGCCTTCTAGGTGAGGAGACATAATTGAAAATAGGAGATCAACTGTAACAGTAGTTATGTTCGTCCCGACAAGGCAATGGTGGGAGGATAAATTCGTCTTCAGATGGGATCACTTGATCACACTTGATGAGTTGAAACAGATTTACTTTGTTCTCTCAACAGAGGCGGCTGAATAGTCACCATGAAGAGCAAGACGTTGTGACACTTGCTGCAAGGACTTCAACTTTTTAATTTGTTTGCTATTAAATGAGCTCAGTTTGGGTTTTCATGCATCCTTGTCATTTTATTCCTCTTCTAGAGTGTATGCAATCATACCTGTTGACATTACAGGTTGTTTTTTTTTAATTTAGTAGTAGTAGAGTATTTTGTTACTTCTTTCAGTGGTAGTGGAATCATTCAGGTAGGAAGGAACCTCAGGAGGTCTCTCAACCAACCTCCTGCTCAAAGCTGAATCAGTGTTGCTTTCCGATGAGGTTGCTTAGGGCTTTGTCCAGTCAGGTATTGCAAACCTCCAAGCATGACAACTGTACAGCCTCTCTTCAGAAGCTGCTCTAATGCCTAAATTACTGCTTAGTAAACAGCATTGGTCCAGCAAAATTAGGCAGCTAGAAAGCAGCATTACTGTATCCTCTTAAGTGGTGATTTAAAAGTCTATCAACTGGAACTCTTAATAATTTCTGGAATCACCATCATTACCCCTAATTCCTTTCTGCATTTGGCAGTCCTGTTATATATTATGACTGGGGAAAAAA